GCCGTCCGTGTCCGGGGCGCTGCGGATCCAGGAAGCCCAGGGAGCAAGTACGCGAGAAGACGCTGTTGTGTGGAGTTAGCGCGGCGCGGATGTAGCCGCGTTCCCCACAGAGCTCTGTGCCTGCGATCACCGGGCACGGGTTGCTGTAGCGATCTGGAGATGAGCCTGTGTGGGCCCTGGGTCAGCTCTGTGCGACTGTAGGAGCATCCGTGGACGTGGCTCTGCAGGGGTCACGGAGCCAGGCTCCTGCCCAATCCTTGGGACGGGCTCTGTGCACAGGAATGCTGGTGTATGTGCGGTATACAAGCCCCTAAAGACACACCCAGGGCCCCGGGGGAGTAGGTGACAGAAGCCGAGTGGAGAAGCCAGAGCCTCACAACCGGGGTGCTCCAGTTCCAGGGACCTGGTGACTCACCTCCACAGTCACCTGCTGCCACCCCCAGGAGCTCAGACCTAGGGTCACAGAGCAGAACACGAGGGTGTGATGGTAGGTATAGAGGACAAGCCAGGCTCCCCACAGAAGGCCAGCACAGGCAGGCAGGGCCCGGAGAGCAGAGTCCTGCCGACCAGAAGGCTGGACCAGCAGAGCAGTTGTTGGTCCCAGAAGAAAGGCCACAGCCAACGCTGCATCTGTGCACACCCTGGATGTGAGCAAGCTGCGGCAGGCGGGCAGACTTGGTGCAGTTGAGAAAAATAGTGACTATTTTAGAAAAACTTTTTAAAAAATGAATTAAAGAAACGTTGCCATTATCACCCTCATCTTTCTCCTTGATTCAAGCTTGATCCACTTAGCCTTTTGTTCTTGCTTCTGTCTGAGGTAGTTCTAGAAGTCCTCTCTTGTAAATGCCTTTTTAAGGTAGGGTCAAAAATATGGTGACTCCTGCTGCCAAGACCTGCCGCATGGAATAGTGGCTCCTGAGAAGCATGCCCACACCCACATTGTTTACTGGCTCTGGCACTGTGAGACTCTGGCTATGCCCCTAACTCCAAGTGACTGTGGCAGGAAACGTTTTGAACTGGTGCAGGACATCCAAGAGGCTAGGGCCACACAGCTGAAGACCTTCAGGACCCAGTACTGAGGAGCTGTCCTGAAGGCACCGGAAGGGGTACGATAAGCGGGCTGAAGCCAAGGCAGTGTTTCTAGGACATTAAGAGAAATGTGTCTTTTAGGGTCATCATTTTTTTTTAAGTTAAACATTCGCCTCAGTTCTCCATGACACTGCATGTGTCTTCATCAAACGCTCCGAAGCGCCTGAACTCACCCTCTCCTGCTCTTCCCAAGATTCCCTCCTGATTTAGCTGAGCCCACAAGTAACTGTGAAACCAAAGATACTAACTGCGCCCCTGCTTGGAGTCACGGATAGCACGACCAAGGGTAAGAAAACGCTAAGGGAACTGTGGCACGACGGCTGCATGAGCTGCTAAGGAGCCAAGAAGAGCGATGATCCTCGGAGCTGCAGCCTGCGGTAGAGCGTTGTGGAAAAAAACTCAGGATCCAAACCCACTGGGGATGGGGTGGGGCTGGGGCGGGGACAACTTCAGATGGAAAAACTCTAAACTGATAGCAAGGATGCTACACTTTTGTCTCATCCCTCTCAGCTTTATCCACCATTTGTGTTACTTCCACAGTGGCTTTTCAGTCTCAAGAGGCCCAAGGGTGAAATGTGCATCCGCCCAAGGCGGGAGCGAGGGCTGCCCTAAGTAAATGACCTGGCTTGCGTTCTGGCTCCTGCAGCAGCAGGCTCGCGTGCTGGCCTTGCTGTGCTTCGTCAGGCGGGGCACTGGTTCCTTGTGTTTGGACTGTCCCTCCCCAGATCTGTGGGGCACATGTGGCGTCTGCCCGCTAATTCAGCCATGACTGGATCTGGTGTCTGGCTGGTGACTTGTGTGTGCTCCAGAGTTGTGCATCTGGGTTGCCACTGGGTTGGCAGTGCCCTGGGGAACATAAAAGGCTGCTTGTCTCCCAAGACTGCTTCTCTGCACCACCAGGGAGTTCTTCCCTGGCTTCCTCTAAATTCCAGCAGGCCTCCTGGGAGAGTAGGCAGGGGAATGCAGTCAGAAAATGCATCCACAGAGGAAGGGCATGGAGGGAGTTTGGGGTCAGGACCAGAGCATAGCTCTGCTTCCAGCAGGGAAGGACTTCTGGGTGCTGGGCACACAAGAATGGGATGCCCCAGGCCGCACACTGCCAGGAAGGCGCTCTGTGGATTCACCCTCTGCCCAACAGCCACAGCTCTAGTAGAGAGGGCAGAAGCCAGCCTGGAGAAAGTTCGGAGGGTGGGGGGGGCTCGCCCACTGGGTGTCTCTGCAGAGCCTTTGGCATAGGCATGCGCAGGAGCAATATTCATAACCTTTCATGATTGATCTCACACGAGCACTGACCAGGGCACTGAAGCCAGGCCACGTGTGGCAGGAGGTCCCCGGCTGTCCCACGTGCCAGTCCTTTGCTACTGGATTGCCAGGATACCCAGTCCATCCCAGAGGGACCTGGAGCAGCAGCTTAATGCCGGCAGCCAGGAGTCGGTTGTTTCATTACCCAGCAGGCTGTGCAGATGTGTACCAGAGGACAGATAGCTTGGACACGTGTGGATTCCAAAGCTCATGCCCACCCTTAACTCCATGTATCCCACTCTTGTCTCCTGCCCATAGCGGGGCTGAGTGCCAGTCTCAGGACTCACAGCCACCACAGAAGGGCTCTTCATTTGTGCAGCCACTGTGCAGACCCAGGGACTGCCAGCCAGTGTCATTGTCCCCCTCTCATTGCAGCCTGGTCACAGAGTGCCTCCGGGCACACAGGCTGCCAGCTTCAGTGGGGCATGGCTGCCTGCCTGCCGCCTGCCCAGCCCTGGCCTGTTGGGAATAGCCATGTGCACATTGTGGAAGGCCAAACACAGGCTGGGGTGCTGCAGCTCACTCTTAGTCTCGACACTTTTACTTGGGAGGGTTTCACCTGCTGCTTTTGATCAGGGACCTGGAGTAAGCAGGTTCTCTGGTGGGCTTTTGTTATTATTTGCTTTAGCTGTTTTGTTTGGTTTAGTTCGGGTTTTTTTTTTTTTTCAACAAGTTCCCGCTGTGCAGTTCAGACTGCGTTGAACTCTCTTCATAGCCCAGACTGGCTCAGAATAATGTAGAGACGAGTTAGAAGACATGGTTGTGCATTGCACTGTCCACAGATCGTAGCTGGTCCCACCGCACACGTATCTGTGGTTTCATTTTTCATGGTTTCTATTACTGTAGTCAGCCATGGTTCAAAACTATTACGCAGAAAATTCCAGAAAAAGTTCATTGGTTCTAAATAATCTGAGTAGATTGTTAAAATTCTTTTATTTTATTATAATTTGCTGTTAATTGCTTACTATACTGACTTTATAAATTAAATGTCATCATAGAATGTAGCCCTGGGAAAACATATAGGATCTGTCGCTGTCTGCGTCAGGGAGCGTCTTAGAGCGTTTTTTCCATGGAGAAAGGGGCCAAGGAGCTACTGTCGCAGGCTATTGCTTTGTCAAGGTGTCTATATGTTCCTAAATCTCATGATCCTTGAACACAGAGTAGAACCATGTTACATAAGTCACAGGCTTTTTAGGATTAAATGGACTCACATACTAGCAAACTCTTTGTAAAACAAAGAAACAAAAGCAAAATCCACCCAAAAAGAATAGCATTGTCAAAATTAGTGAAAGAAAAAAAAAAAAAAAAAAAAAAACAAAGAACATTTTTTAAAAATGTATGGTTGGCTGGATGATTCTGAAGGAAGGCAGCTATTGGGGCCCGACTTGCAGAAAGCGCTCTGAACTCCAGAACCCCCTCTTCAGCGTGTTAGAGCGGAAGCAATGTGTGACACAGAGAAATGCTAGGACAAGGTTGCTGTCTGCTTGAGGCTGGCGGGGGCCGCACATGCACGAAAACGGGTTATGGATTCGGACCACACAGGACAACGCAGGAAAGACACAGCGCGCAAGGAAACCCAGGTGGCGGGAGAAGGTAGCACAGCCTTGCGACCATTCCTGGCTGCCCGCTCACTGAGCAGAGATCGCTCCGACATCTGTGGGCTTATGAAGAAGATAAATCTCAGTCATCTGTAGGAAAGTGGGTGCACCGTGAGGATATGACGTGAGGTGGAATAAACCAGACGCACAGTTTAACCAGCTCGTGCTTTCTCTTCTAGGAGCAGCCCCAACTCTAAATAAATTAAAGAGCAAAATAAAAGACAGATAACAGAAAAGGGGAAGCAGGTCTTTTGCCAAAGCAAAGGGGCGCAGTAGTTGGAGGGGGGATAAGAAGAGGAAGGAAAGGCTCGAGAAAAAGCAAATGGTTCTGGGCTTGCGAGCCCCTGTTCAGGGCGAGGGAGACCCCGTAGTCGCGCCGTGCACCCCCACCAGAGCTGCAGGACTTCCTTCTCCAGAGACCAGCTCTGTGGCCTCCAAGCAGATCTAGCATTATTGGATTAATTAAGACATTTTCTGCAAGTTAAACTTGTCCATGAATATTAAGTTTCAGGCTGGGCCTCCCATCTAATCAAATACTGGATATTTCCAGAATAACAGTCTGTTCCCCAAACATTTAGAAATATGCATACAGAGTGTTTAACAACACCGCGGTGTTTATTTCTGGCCGGAAGGTGTCCCCTCGGTGTGACAGCGCCATGTCTGACATCTGGAACCTGCTAGGGCGCACATTGCTGCCTCCACATCATCTCTCGCTTGGCTTCCACTCTGAATTTGCTCAGGTCACTCATGCAGCTGGGCGGTCATGGGCTTTGCTTTGGAGCTCACTCACTGGGTCACTGTGTACTGCTGGTGGCTTTGGATAACCACCGTGTGGGACCCAGTTTCCTGTACACAATGCGGAAAGAACCAGGGCATCCCAGAACTGCGGTGAGGGTTAGAGCTTTCCACACAGTGTCCAGTTAGGGACCTGCCACGTGTGAGCTTGGGGCTGTGTTTACTGTCCTCCTCTGTGACTGGCGTGTGACCAGAGTTTCCTGCTTTCTCTTCAAGCTTTGACGTGGAAAATGGCCCTTCCCCAGGCAGGAGCCCGCTGGACCCCCAGGCCGGCTCGTCCTCGGGGCTGGTACTGCACGCTACCTTCCCGGGGCACAGCCAGCGCAGAGAGTCCTTCCTCTACAGATCGGACAGCGACTATGACCTGTCACCAAAGGCGATGTCACGGAACTCATCTCTTCCCAGCGAGCAGTAAGTACAGCCTGCTTTGCCTTCCTGTCTCACGCTTGCCTCACCTTCCAGCTGTCACCTGCTGCAGTGGTGGCTGCTCCTTTCAAGCCTTTCACAGAGGGCAGAGGTGGGAGGGAAACAGAGTGGCCCCAAGGTCACCCGCTGGGCAGTGTGTAGGTCTGGGGGCAGCATCTCCTCAGATACAGTATGCGGCGGATCCCATATGTGATTGATACTTTTAAAAGTTTTTGCTGGGCTTCATTGCCTGAGCTGCTGAGTCATTTACAAGATGAGAGCCTTCACATGTCTTGCAGATCACACTTGAATGTTCAGCTGCTTGTGAACTCCCAGAAGGCTGTAGGAGAGATGCGAGGTGACGGTTGCTCACCTGCACTTGATGGCACTGCCTAGGCTGTCACCAGGTGCATGTCACCCCAGCTGGAACCTCTCCCTGCCACACACACACACACACACACACACACGATGCTCACTTTTCTCCTGGCTCCTTGGTGAGTCACAGCACACTCCTTCGCCCTGAGAAGCACAGCTGATTTTTTTTTTTTTATGTTGTTTTGCTGCTATTCATTGCAGATCTCTAGTTTTTACCTAAAGAACAATGGCAGGGCTGTATTATTCATTTATTAGATTTCACAAATCAAATAAAAATTGGATGCTAAAATCCATCCTTAAAAGGATTCTGGGCACACATACAATTATTTTCAACATCTTATGCTATAAAATTATTAGTAGTTCCCTAAAGTCGCCAGCCTGGAAAATTCCACTGGGCTGTCTTTTGCTACGAGAAAGGCAGCCAAAAGGTTCACCTCCTTGCAAAGTGGGAAAGGGCTGTTGTAAACTGTAGCAGCAACAAAAGGCTGCCCACAGGACTCTCGCTGACACATTTTAATGTAGTGCCTCAGCCCTGAAGTATTTCAGTCACAGTGTGCCCCAGATCTCACCTATATTTTTCTATTCATTTGGCAAATATTTACCAAAACCCTCCTATGTGTGATGCCGTGTGCCAGACCATGAATAAAAGATGAACACAGCAGAGGAAAAATCACAGATGAGGGAAAAACCAATGCCATTCGCCAAAAGTTTGTATGTGGGCGGAGAAATAACAGCTAAGCAGGAATGATGAAAGGAATACACAGCCACACACATAACCGCACAGTGGAAGGCAGCCAACATCTAATGATTATTTACCCTGCTACCCAGTTCTCTACATTTTCTGTGTTACCAGTGTAACAGCCCTGCCTGCAGCTGATGAAATGGGTCTCTGAGAGATTGAGTGTGGTTGTATTTTTACGTTATACCTTGTGGTATAGCTAAGAATGATTGTATTAGGTCCATTACCTGTTGCTATAAGAAAATACCTGAGCCTAGGTGGTTTATAAAGAAAAAAGGTTGGCTTGACCTCTTTTCTAGGGGCTGGAGGAGGGTCTTCCTAGTGGCTAGAGGGTCTAAGCAGCACATACTGGCCCCTGACTATATTTCAGTATGGCAGAGAACTGCAGAGGATGCCAGCCACCTGCAGAGGAGCCACAGACTATGATGGCCTCGCTCTTATGAGACCAACTCACTCTGCAGGAGCAGCCCCAAAGCCTTGCTGCAGCGGCACTCCAGGACCTACTTAGCTCTCACCATGTCCTGCGTCTGTCGAGGCCCCCTGCCTCCCAGAGCCACCATGATGGCCACCAGGTTTCCAGCATGTGACCCTTTATGAGACGTCACAAGCCATAGCCAAGCCCTGACAATAACCGTGTGCAAGACATCTGGGCCATGTCTGTGCTCTTTTTTGTGGAAGCAGCTGCTCTGTTGGCAGGAAGGTCACAGACCAGTACAGAGAAGAGGGACCCAAGACTGAGAAGCAGTGGCCACTCTGTGGCGACTCGTGTCAGCATGTCATGCCCACGGAGGTTCCGTGGTGGTGCTGGACAGTGCGGGCGCTGCCACTTCTGACCCCCCCTGAGATCTAAGACTTTCTAGGTCCCATTGTGAGAGAACATGGGAAACGTGGCAAGCTTGAAGGACAAGAGCCTTTTCCACAGGCATTTGAAAGAGAAGAGGCCAGCTCCGGAAGATGGTTGGTCTGAAGATCCGTCCTCACGTCATCTGCTCTTCAGACCAGTGCAGACAGCAGGGTGGGTCTCTAGGGGACAGTCTTGGCAGAGACTGAAAAACTACAATGCAACACAATTGGTAGCTGGTGGAACAGAGATGCCGCCTGGCATGGTGATGTGAGCCTGTTGTCCCAGCACTGTGGAGGCTGAGGCAGGAGGACTGCTGTGAATTCAAGGCCAGCCTGAACCACATAGTAAAATCCTGTCTTAGATACACACACA